GGCCTCCTCGTGCCTCCCTATCTCCGGGCACCGAGCTGTGCCAGGTCCCGGGGCCCCCGGGCCGCGCTGGGGCTGTGGTAGGGGCTGAAGGTGCGTTTCCATAACGCCGGGCGTGTGGGAGCGGGAGGAAGAGGCTGCGTGCGTAGGAGAGATAAGGCTCCCGCTTTCTCTCCTTCCTTCTTGGTGGTACCAGGCTTGACATCACCGAGAAGAGAGAAGGATAGAGACGGTACGTTCTGAAAATTCTGAATCGCCAAGCCTATGGGGGCAATGAAGGGGGGTAAGGGCAAATTTGGTCAGCCAGGACAGCTGGAGCTTGGCTCCATCACTGGGACCAGGGCTTTGCCCAGTTTCCCCTTCATACAGACGATCAAAAAGCATTTAGACAGTAGCTGCTCTTGTGCAAGAAGACGGTTTCTCAATTTTCTTTGATTGGGGGCTGGGGGTTGTGGGCAGAGGAGGCAGGAGAGGCGGAAAATGGTTGCATGGCTTGATGGGCTGAGCGATGGACGGGAGAAGCGAACTGGGCTGGAGGGGCTGGATGGTGGGCAGAGGGAAGAGCTGCTGGCTGCCTCTTGTACCGGCTGCTGGATGGGTATCCATATTGCCAGGCCTGGATGAGGGCAGAAGGCTGCCTTCTGGCTCATCAAGGCTCAGAGACCACTTCCCCCACCCCAACCCCAGCATGATTCGCGATGAAAGGAAGGTTGTGGGTTCGGTGGGGCGCCCAGACCCAGTGTGAACCCCCTCTTTCCTGCTTCCAAACCAGTGGCATGATTCTCTCCAGTTTGGGGAGGGGTGAGAGCAAGTGCATCTCTGTCTGGTTAGCTGACCAAGACTCTCCAGTCTCTCTGAGCCTCTTGGGGGATACAAAGCTGGCAGGTGAAGGCCCAGAGCGTTTAGGAAATGTGGGTTTATCAATCTCTTAATAAGCACTGTCTGGCCTGAGGCCCTACCCAATATTGCACTGGTGATTTCACAATGTTTAGCGTTCCGCCGGATCTTCATACTAATGGAGCATAAACATCTGAAAGTTTCAGTTTTTCCCTTAGTGTGTGGGTGTGGGGAGGACTAGGAAAGGGAGGGCAGCCATTGACAATGCCCCCCACACCTACCTCTCTCTCTCTCCCCACCCCCCCGCCCCCAGCGCTCTCTTTCTCCCTCTCTCTTTTCTCTGTCTCCTTCTCTCTCTTTCGGCAGAAGGGTGGGAAAGAAGTTGTAGATGTGTCCAGTGTGAAATCAAATTTTCTGTCTTTCCTAGCCCTTGGGAGGGTCCTCACTTGCCAGAAGGCTCCAGACGAATTCTAATATGAGCAGTGCACATCCTGACCAACTGAGCTGCGTGGCCAATACTGGGTAGGGGGCATTTTGGTGGCAGATTTCTAAAATCTCCTTGATGGACAAATGTTGGTCAGCTTGATGAGGAAGACTTTAAAGATGTCTCTTGGTTATCTTCCTTCGTAGATTCTGAACTCTAGAGTAAGTGCTCTCCTGCTCATTCCCATGACCTTTACCAAATTACTCTCTGAAATGGCAACATCTCCTTAAAGCTTTGGTAGGGTGAAGTGGGCAGAGACTGATCACATGGAATAGTATGATTCCCGGTTAAAGCAGGGCAGAGGCTGGGGGCATTTGGAGCTCACAGATGTCATTTTTGTTTTCATCCTTCCAGAATAGGTGGAGAGATGGGCTCTTTGGAACTCCACCCCCCCACTCTGGTAAACCTGACATTGCCTCTGCCCAGAGGTTTGGCTGACTTGAAAAACAAATGAAGGCAGCCTTTCAGTGCAGAATTTGAAAGTCAGTGATTTTAAAACTAAGGGAGGAAAAAACACCCATTAACACCTCCAGAAATGTCCCTGAGGTGTGTTGCTCTGGGGTTTAATACTTTGGTATCACCAAAGTATAAATCCTTTGTGTGGGATTCTGTTCCAATGTCTAATGCTATTAGTCCCTTCATGTGACATCTTCCGGCCCCCACGAGTATTTTTCTTTCCCCGGTCTGTCCTCTTGGGTAGGGCCCGGGTGATGGTACCGGGAGGCTTATTAGAGAGGAGCCCCTTCTCTTCAGAGAAGAAGGTCAGTGTTCTTAGAAAGTTACGGCTTTCAATGTGGTTCTGCATCCAGAGTTGTCTGTCATCTGAGCCCTACTGAGGTGGAAGTTCCCTTGTGAGGAAAGCCTCTGGATCTAGGGATAGAATAAAAAATTTTGGATTTAGGATGTCGACATGGCAAGAGTGGAGAAGGTTCCATCTCACGGTCAACTTGGATCTACCTGACAGAGGGGAAAGCAATGACTCATTGGAATATATTTTTACTCTCTCAAAAGAGCCAAAGGAAGAAGGTGATGAAGGGCAACATAACCGAAGACTGTATTACCTCTTCCAGACCAAGGTAGGGGCTGGGTCAAAGCAGATGAGGGGCTAGGAAATGTGCTAAGCTTGGCCCTTAGTCTCCCCATCTGCAGAGCGGGGAGAAGAAACTCCTCCCGAGGGGCCAGGGCCAGCTGAGCAGCTAGCAAGTGTGTAGGGCTGGGGCTGTGCCCCTTGTTACTACTGGGTGCCTAGTAAGGAGGGCTTGGTTGTAAGGGAGCCCCTTCCTCCACAGGAGATGTGGGGTGCTGTGTGATGTAAGAGGCGAAGGATGCTTAGCTCTCGAGGGGGCCTGGGGCCACCCTGCAGATCCGGACAGCTGACAAGGCTGGGGATGTATCCGGGACATGTGGCTGGGTTTAAGAGGCTCCACCGTTCAGCTGTGATCATGATTGTTCTTTCCAAGGACAGTCGGTGGAGGAAGCAAGGGCACCGGGGAGGGAGCACAGATGTGCTGGATCTCACGGAGGAGGGAAGGGGCCCTTCTGGGGCAGGTGGCCATTTGCAGAAAAGTGGTTTCCCTTGTCTCTTTCTGGTTGGGGGGAAGGAGGAGTCATTTCCTGCCCCATCCCAGGAGTAAGCTAACGTCTATTATTGTAAGTCCAATTCTTAGTGGACAAATAAAATGATCTTGGTGTCAGTGAGACGGGGGGTCCTCCTCTGGGGTTTAGATTTCTGGTGCCCCATCCCAAACTTCCATGTGGGCCAGTGATTCCCCAACTGTACCAGTAGTTAACAGACTTCTAGCCCCATTCTTTTCTCACTCTTGACTTCTAATCCCTCTTTAAGGGGATCTGAGCAGACAACAATTCAGAGGGGAATACATCGAAGCCAGAATCTGTAGCCGGTTAGAATAGCCCAGAGCCAAGTACAGCAAGACCTCTCCCACTCACCCTAGCACCGGGGCTTTGGAGCTCAGCTGGTTGTGGAAAAAGAAGAGAAAAGGGTTGGGAACTGATAACTGGGGATGGGACAACGTGAGGAAAAGCAGCTGCTTTTGTGATCTCTGACAGGTTGTGGCCAGAGGTCAGCTCCTTAGTGCTAGTGGTGGGTGGCAGGGAGGAACAAGGTTTCTCAGGCAAATCCAGCTGCCTAAATGCTTTACTTGCAGCAGAGATTGTCTCCCTCAGTGGGGTGTAGGGAAGGCAAGTCCCTGGCTTCCCTCATCCCCCTTCCCCCCCTTTAAAAAGTCTTTTTGAAGCAATAAGTCATTATTTAGTTGGAGCTTAATGAACTAAACTGGAGTGTTGTCCCAAAGAACCCAAGCGAGAGTGGTAGATAGTGGTGGGCGGGCTCTCGTGAAGCCTTGAGACCTTTTTCTCTGAACTGTTAAAGGCTTGAACAGCCTTCCCTGAAGGCACCTGCTGGGACTGAATGGGCCAGTGCAGAAACTACCCTTTCATTCAGAGCCCCTTGCCATTTGGCATTAGCTGACCTGTAGTTTTCAAAGTACAGCTGTCAGGTTTTCCTAATATTTCCCAACTCCTCTCCCTGGGATAAGTCCAGGGGAAGGGGTGGATGGGTGGAACAGACATTTAACATGCCTCTTGATTCTTTCCAGCCAGCCTGCATTGAGCTGTCTGCCGCCTTGATGCTCAGCCCCTCCCCACAGGTACACATGCAATGTCAGGCTCACAGACGAAGCCGCAAATACAGGACAGTGTGCTCTGGGCTTTTCGATATCCTGCTGATTCAGTATCCTAGGATTCTCTTCTTCTGCCTTCCTTTTGCCCTAGCTCCTCCTTCCCTTCCCCACAGACCTGGACCAGGAAGCCGCATCCATGAACGTGCCCTAGGGACCCTTAAGTTCAACTTTATAGGTGGGAGGAGACGGGATTCCCGCCCACTCTAGGCTTTCCTTTTAGGGACTGCTTTGTGGTGAGATCCTACAAATGAGGCCCATTCAACCTTAAGAAAAATGAAAATGAAAACTGTTAGAAAAATGGGGGTGTGTGAGGTGACACAAGGGATGCCAAAGAAAATGGAAGTGAAGATGTCTTGCGCTCTGACCCTTCCTTTAATGACAGATTTCAACCCCCCAGCCTCTGCTTTCCACACTGAAAATTCCCCTAACTGGGGGCCAGTCTGATGTCAGCCCTGTCTGGCTTCATTTCCAGACTGGTTGGGTAAGAACCCGAAGATGGCCCAATGAGGTTCCCTGAGGGCTGGTGGCAGACCTGGGAGACTGGCGGAGTTCATGGCTATAAGAGAGAAGGGTGCTTCTGTGCCCTTCCATGAATACCCAGGAGTTATTGCAAGTCAGGGTCTCAGGGCTGAAGTTGCAGCCTCTGGAGCCTCTGCTGCCTGGATTCGAATCCTGCCCCGACCACTTGCCTGCTCTATGACCCTTTGTTCTTCCTCTGCAAAATGGGTATTATCCTCCAAGGGGATGGTGAGGATTGAAGGAGAAAATCATTGAGGATTTAGCACTGAGCTTGACACCAAGAAATGTTTCATAAATGCTTGCTGCTCCCCTATTTTTTTTTTTTTTTTTTTTTTGCGGTACTCGGGCCTCTCACTGTTGCTGTCTCTCCCGTTGCGGAGCACAGGCTCTGGACGCGCAGGCTCAGCGGCCATGGCTCACGGGCCCAGCCGCTCCACGGCACGTGGGATCTTCCCGGACTGGGGCACGAACCCATGTCCCCTGCATCGGCAGGCGGACTCTCAACCACTGCGCCACCAGGGAAGCCCTCCCCTAATTATTAATTATTATTATTAGAAGGTTGGAACGGAGGTAAAAGTTTCCCTTCCTCGTGCTAATCCATAAGGCTGCCATCGAAAATTCGATAGAGGTGCGTCTCTGGCTAAGTGGACTGCTGGCTTTGTTTCTCTGTCCACAGTCTTCCAAATTGGCCATCAGTCTCCCAGCCTAAATGAGGCAAAGCCTCCTCTCTCCTATTTGTATTATAAATCTCTTCCTTCCTTGCCGGGGAAGCAGAGGACATATTAAACTGCACTTAAGTTCGGCAGCGTTGCTCAGACTGGAGGGTGGGTGTGTCCCAGTGAGCAGGGATCAATCTTCTAAGCGGACTTGGGGGGGCGGGGTTTGAGACACCGTCTAGCTGTGTTGAGGGGTTATCAAACAGGCTATCGGGAGGTTGTTTTTCTTGTCAGCCAAATGAATTCCACCCTCCTGTGGAGGGTCCCGGCTAATTGGGAGGTGAGGCCGTGAAGCCTGAGAAGGTTGGAGTGGTACAGCTCTGAGCCCCTGGTGGCCGGAAGGCATCTTCCGTCAGGGTCGTGATAGGGAAGATGCATTTTAGAATATGCCTGCTGGAGCCATCTTGGATGCAGCGTGTCCCAAGAGAGCTGAGTCATCGTGGACTGAGCTCCCACCCCCATGTCTGGCCCTGAGTGCAGGCCCAGATGTTGACAGCTGCCTCTGGAGAGTGATGGGAGCCTGCTAATGCCAATATCCCCATCGCCTGCAGGCGCTGCGCCCACCCTGGCTTCCTGGTGGGACTTTTCCATGGGACTTTTTCCATGAATCTGCCTTGTGATTCCAGGGCCTATTAAAATCCCCAAGCACTGCCCATGCCTTTTATTTCCTCCATAGAAAGTGTGCCCGTTCTTATAGAACCCCAGGAATAGAACCAGGGGAAGGAGAGTGGATAGACTGTATAGGGGAGGGGGAGTACCCACAGCATGGCCAGTCCCAATCCTAGTCCTAAGAGGCAAAAAGCCCAACTACATGGGGCAATACAACCTTCACACCACCACCGACATTCTGTTGGCAGGACCCTGAGCTTCTGGAATGAGGGAATCGCGTTGTCTTTGTCCTGCTTGGGGGGTTCTGGCTGAGGCACCTCTTGGCTGGCGCCAGAGTCGTCTCCTGTGCCTCTGTCAGCATTTTCCATTCTTCTGCCTAGTCACACCTTTTCCTCCAGGCAAAGGTCTGGGACCCGTGGCTCCTAACCTTCTCTTGACCCCAAACCCACTTATTCTAGAAGCAAGGCTTTGGATTGCCTGCAAAGAATAAAGTGGGCTGAGGTAGCATCCCCTGAAGTTCTGCCCCATGGCCAACTTGATCCTTGGAAAAACTCCTCTCTCTGAATGCTTAACTAACATCCCCCCGCATCCAGCCCTGACCCCGGGATCCCCAAAGCAGGCTGCCTTGGCAGATGACTGTTTCTTGGTGGCAGACCTGCCAGACACTTAAGTCTAACTCTGCCACGGGGAAGTCTCTTCTTTGAAGACGATGCTCTCCTGACATGTGGAGGGAACACAGAGGCAGGAGGCAGGCTACCTCTAGGCAGACATCCTCTGAGTTGGGAGAAACTATGCACAGAAATCTCTCTTAAGTAGATAGGACTGTGGGAGCAAAGCCCTTGTTCATGAGCCCATAGTTCATGGCTTTGCGAAGGGGAAGTATCAGTTGACTGAGCAATGAACCTTGCAGAAAAGACTTAATGCTTTTTTCCTTGCAGTATACAGATGAGAACCTTGTGGGTAAGCTCCCTTTCATCCACTTCATGAACTTCGCATCTAGACCTAGCTCTTTATTTCAGACAGGCTGGAAAGCATCTAAAGAGGCCCTTCCCCAATTTAACCATTTCTGATCAAACTGTTGTTTCCAAGCAGGGGAAGTATAATACAGAGTTGCCCTGAATGCCTTTTTTTTCTCTCTTCATTCTTTACTATAGAGACATTGATAAGTATGGATGTGTCACTCGGGGCAGGTGTCATTCTCCTGTGATTGGAATACTGGGATGACCAGCTGTGTGTCCCAAGTCTGGAGGGATACAGGGTTAGAACTGGAAGTGGAAACCTATCCACATCCCCTTCTTAAGCATCACCTTTGAGGCAAGGTGAACCTAGTAACGGAGGTACAGGGTCAGCTCTCCAAATCAGAACATCATTAGCGTCTTGAAAAAGCATTTACCGAAACCCCATCCCGTAGCACGTTAATCCAATGGTCTTCCCCCCCCGCCAAAGGTGGTTATCTTTCCCTTTTATCCGAACCCTGGCTATCTGTTGTGTCCCCCACTCCCAAGCCCGGTGGAATCTTCCCAGAGTCTAATCTTTCTCTGGGATTCCAAATCGTGCCCCCTTGGGCAGGGGTCTTGGCCTCTGTTGCTATTTCTTTAAATTGATCTCCAGCCGAATTCTGAATGTAAAGGTCAGCAGGCGAGGAAATGGCACTTTAATAGAAAACAATGTGCACTTTCTAAATTTGAACCAAGCCGTTTCCGCTCTTTGATTTAAGTGACTTCCTGGGGTTCCGTGTCAGGCACTGCAGTTGAATCTCTGGCCGGATTCCAACTTAAAATTGCACTCTCTCGGTGAAATTAGAAACTGATCCAGGGTTGGCTTAGCTATTCTAGTAAATAGCATTTAGGCTGAATATTCAGCTCAGCACTTGGCAATGGGTGATGTGAGTGCCCCTCGGGAGGATTTCCCATCCAAGTTGTCAGAGGTGCACCTACCCAGGCGTTATTAGCCACTAGATGTTGCTGCTCTCAGAAGTAGTGGTAATAAGTTAATATCCTGGATGTGCAGGCATCAGATACAGCTCTTCCTTCTCTTGTGATTATCTGAAATAAAGGCTTTTGTTTATCCAGCTGATAAACGACATGGGAGCATACAGGGACTGTCTGTCATGGTCCCCACATCCTCAGCATGCAGCACATCGCTTGGTACTTAATACTCGTGCTTATTAGTGCTCAGGAAATCTAAACTGTTGCTCTCTGGGATGGTGATAAATTAGAGTATGTGCTGTGTGTCAGGCAAAATGCTAGGTCCTAGATATGCATTTTCTCATTTAGTCCTCACAAGAACCCATTTTACAGATGAAAATACTAAGGCATAGAGGTTCAAGAACCTCATTCACAGCAACGCTGCTAGGCAGAGGTGAGAATTTGAACTTGGATCTGATTCCAGAGCCTGTGTTTATAACTGCTAAGCTGTATCTGTCTTAAATCAGGAGCATGTTTCATGGGGGTTATAAGAATGAACTCGGACGGCACAGCTTTGAGCCCTAGTTCTGCTCCTGATGGTTTTGTGTGACTGTGGACACGTTACTTTGAACATTAGTTTCCTGTAACTAGAAAAGGGATAATAATAGTAGTTACATTTTAGGTTTATTGTGAAGAGTCAATGACGTAATAAATATGGTGCTTAGAAGAGTCCCTGGCACATAGTAAGTACTAAATAAGTTATTTCTGCCACTTACTATTGTTGTTGTTGCTGTCATTGTTAATCATCTAAGCCATAATGCTGGAGAGTCCACCAGAGGAATTCCAGTTCCCATTTCATTTGGGCTCCCAAGGACCTGACGGGGGTGGGGGTGGTGGGGGGTGTTAACAGGCCACATACTGATGTCTGGAATCCATTCTCTCTTCCGCCCCCGACTCCAGGGCCCCTAGAAGCCTGCTTCTCTACACAGCCCAGGACCTCTGGCCCCATGGAGCCCCCGATCCCACAGAGCGTCCCCTTGACTCCCAGCTCAGTCATGGTCCAGCCCCTTCTGGACAGCCGTATGGCCCACGGCCGGCTCCAGCACCCCCTCACCATTCTCCCCATCGACCAGATGAAGACCAGCCACGTGGAGAACGACTACATCGACAATCCTGGCCTGGCACCCCCCACCGGCCCCAAGCGGACCCGGGGTGCAGCCCCAGAGCTGGCCCTGACACCTGCCCGCTGTGACCAGGACATCACCCACCACTGGATCTCCTTCAGCGGGCGCCCCAGCTCTGTGAGCAGCAGCAGCAGTACGTCTTCTGACCAGCGCCTCTTAGACCACATGGCCCCCCCGCCCGTGGCTGACCAGGCCTCCCCGAGGGCCGTGCGCATCCAGCCCAAGGCCATCCACTGCAAGCCACTGGACCTCAAGGGCCCGGCCGTCCCCCCAGAGCTGGACAAGCACTTCTTGCTGTGCGAGGCCTGCGGGAAGTGTAAGTGCAAGGAGTGTGCGTCCCCCCGGACGTTGCCCTCCTGCTGGGTCTGCAACCAGGAGTGCCTGTGCTCCGCCCAGACGCTGGTCAACTATAGCACCTGCATGTGCCTGGTGCAGGGCGTCTTCTACCACTGCACCAACGAGGACGATGAGGGCTCCTGCGCCGACCACCCCTGCTCCTGCTCGCGCTCAAACTGCTGCGCCCGCTGGTCCTTCATGGGCGCCCTCTCCCTGGTGCTGCCCTGCCTGCTCTGCTACCTGCCCGCCACCGGCTGCGTGAAGCTGGCCCAGCGCGGCTATGACCGCCTGCGCCGCCCCGGATGCCGCTGCAAGCACACGAACAGCGTCATCTGCAAGGCAGCCGCTGGGGACGCCAAGGCCAGCAGACCCGACAAGCCTTTCTGACACCTGGGGTCAAGTCCCGGCGCTTCCCCCTGGAAACTTGGTTCCCTTCTCACACCTGAGAGGGGACCACCACAGTGAGGCCAGAGGTTTTAGCATCCTCAGGCTGACCCTGCCAGTCTGCCCACTCCCTACCCCCAGCTTCTGAAGAAACAGAGACCACAATCGCCCATCCTTCTCTTCCCCAAAAGGATGAAGAAGCACTTTGGGGTTTTTTTTTTTTTTTTCAGGGTCCTGGAACTTGTGTGAAACAGATAGTGGCAGGGGCGTGGTGTGGTTTGGGGGCGATTTTTCTTTTTCAGAAGATGGAACACAGATGTGGACACATATCCGGAAGTTGCAGCTGCTTGAATGCCTTCCCAGCCCTCCTCCTCCCTCCCTCTCTCCCCGCTCTTTTGCATTCTCTCTGGCTGCCTGGGAGGAATCGGTAACTGAGCGGCCAGGGGACCTTGGAAGAAGACCCTTGGAGTTTTACCGTCTATACCTTCTTCTCCCAGCCTCTACCCTGGTTTGCCCCGACATCTTGGGGAAGGTGTAGACCCTGGCGATCCCTGTTGTATATACTTGGGAGCCCCCTCGTTCCTCGCTCTGCCCGGAGCCACGGATGGATCTAGGAACCACTGCACAGTACCTTTTCTCCCTTCCAGCTTCCTCACTAACTCTTGGGGGTGTTCCACTCATAACACCGTCCTTCGGCTCTTACTGGGTCACAGACTCACCCGCCCGCTACGTGTCCCAAGTTCTCTCTACCCAGATCTTTTCCAGAAACTTTATGGGTAGAGAAGGCCAGGGCGGCAAATTCGAGACCAAATAGCATTTTGCCAATGAGTCTGAGGCTGTGGTCTCTGGATCCAGTCATTATGTTTTTATAGAAGCATTAAACCAGATGCTAACGGTGTTTTAAGAAATAACAGTAAAACACTTGCTTCCTTTTGGGCCACCCCCAGGAAGGGCTGATTTCAAAATCTGGGGGGCGAGCAACCTCAAGGAACACCATCCCCCTCCCCACCAAGAAGAGGATTTTAACAGCAAAGAAGAGAGGCGGCACCTCCCATTGGCAGAGTGAGAGTTGAGGCGAGCTGGGTGTAGGTTTCTTCTCTCTTGATTCTGCTGCTTGCTGTCATAGCCTTTTGTGTACAGTGTCTGTATCTTTAATGTAAATAGACAGATGATGAAAAAAGAGTCTATTTTAGTGTTAGGAAGCCCTGGCGGGGGGGTCAGAAGAATGCGGGTGGGGGAAAGATTCTCCAGGGGCTTCTTGGGATTGAGCCCTGCTTCTGTGCGTGGCTACAATGAGCCCCTCCCAACAGCCCCCAAAGACGTAGCAACTCTTTCTCTCAAGGTGCTAAAGGACAGAAAGTGCAGCTCGTCCGGTGGGTAGGTACTTGTTGCATGCAAAAGCTGTAGTGTGTCCAGTCCTTCCTCCCTAGCTATCGTGCGGGGTTTTCGCTTAGTGTGGTATTTTGTGCCTCCCTCTCTTTCCCCCCATGAGAGGAAGTAGCCTGGGTCAGAAAAGCTACCCCAGGTGATATCGGAAGTGCACTAGGCACAGCGTTTGTGGCATTTCCAGTTTGTTCTGTAGGAACAGAACAGCCTCCAGGAAGGAGGCAAGGAGGCAGGTAGCTGCGATGGTCATGCACCCAGTGCTTCTCAAGGACTTTTTTTTTTTTTTTTTTCCTTCTTGAAGACTAGTAGTAACATCTTATGATTTAGAATAAGTTAATTGTAACCGTAGGTATTTATTGACTGGTGGAAAGGAGGGGAGGGTCTTATTATTTTAGGCTTTATTTATATAACATATGCTGGCTTGTAAAAGGCAAATATGAAATACTGCATCTGCGTTTCCTAAGGCTGATTCCTGTAGCTCCCTTTGCCACAGTCGTGATGGATGTGTGGATGTTCTCGCACAAATCAGAGGGGATGGTAGAAGAAACACATTCAGCCAACCACATATCCTAATTGAATGTATCAGATGTGTACTGAAGGGACTGGAGATGTTTTCTCAGAACAGGTGTGCAGAGGTTACCCCAAAAAAGAGGGCACACGTCCTCGCTTGGTGAGACCTCAGAACTTTTCCCAAAGCCCCTCCCTCAAATGTCTCCATGGGAAACTTGACCCAGTGGCAAGTTGCACTTTGGTGATCTTTGGAGTTCTACACGCACATTCTGTGGAGAATTGACTTACATAAGCTGTGTGCGCGCGCACACACACACACACACACACACACACACACACACACACACATACACACATACACACATATACCCCTACCCCACCGTCTCTATCTACATAGACCCTGTTACCTGGCAAACAGCCTCCTGAACCCTGACTTTTTGTGTATATAGTTATAAACATGGATTTTTCTGGGTTTTGGCTTTCTCTTTTCCCTTTCCCCTGTTTTGGCTTGTTCTTTTTGGTTTGCATCTAGCCTGCTAGATGGACGTCTGCAGAACTCTGTCCTGTGTGCTCAGCTTCGGTTCACCCAGCTTTGTTGCATAGCTATCCCTCAGCATGTTTTCCTTGGCAAAAAGAAAAAATAAAACCGGCTTGCCCGTGGCCCCCGGGGGCCAGTCAAGGGCCACTGAGGGACCAAGCTCTCAGTAACACGACCCATTTCTGTGGCTGCTTCTGGCTGGTTGCGTGTCCTGTCACCAGTGGCCTGCTTGGCTGGATTATGCCTCGTGTTGACCTTTTTTTGAAGAGTGCCAGCTGCTTCCCACTTCTGTTCAACCGGGGTGGCTGGTGGTTCTGCCTGGAACCGGGGGTGGGATCCACAAACCTGGGTCCAGGATGCTTGTCCTAAGGGGCCGAGGCTGCTTCCCCTCAAGGGTGGGTTTGTGAAGGCCCAACACCCCAGCCGGCACCCTGGGAACTGGGTCTAGGAGAGCCCAGCCCTCGCAGGTAGACGGGGTACAACCAAGGCTTCTGAAGGTCCCTGGCTGGGAGGAGTCAAGACCAGTCCCTGCTATTGATACGGGCCCTTCACAGCTGATCGAGATGGAAGACCATCACGTGATGCGCCCGGTTCTTTACGTGTTCTGGAGTCTGCGTGCGTCCCTGTTGGGCATCGAGCGAGGCCCAGTTAGATTATGGAGTCCAAATGTGGAAAGTGTGGGCTGGGACCAGCATCCACATCCCGTCACCTTCACGGTCTCTGTGCTGCCCCAGGGGATGTCCGGTGGGGTGTAGGCAGCACAACTTGACACGGCGCAAGTCACCAGGGCATCCCGCAAGCTTCACTGACCTTCTGGTTCATGCCTTCGGTAAGCATTTTCATGCCCTCTGCTTACTGTGACAGGTGACGACAAATCTTGCGCTGCCATGTTTTGCTGTGGGTAACTGTGTGGTGTCTTATCCTGCTTTCTCTTCTCACTGCCCCACGGTTTGGTTTCATGTTACAAACAGAAAAGCTGTTCAAGGGTCCCACCCTGGCACATTTTCCCTCTTCACTGTAACCCCTTCTCACCCCACATCAAAAGTTACCACAGAAGGTTTCCTTTGTATAGAATATTTATTTTGAAGCTCTATTTTAATAGTATTTATTTTAGAAAGTCTACTATTGTAAGAGTTCTTCTGTTTGTGAAGAAAAAGCAAGTTAAAAACTGAATGTACTGATCTAGAAAATATATATAAATATATATTGTTAAATATACACGGGACTGCCGTTTGTCTGTGTGTCTGTGTGTTCACACTCCCAACATCTTCACCCAGCAAGGTGGCACGTTTGTCAAAGAACAAATGGAAGAGAGTTAGCCAAGCTCTGGCAGACAAAGAGGCAGAGGGAGAGGGCTCCTGGCCCTTGTCCTTCCTCTAGGATGACCTGAGAGTCGGTGGAGGAAAGCTTCACTCTCTTATGAAGCTGAATGCTGCCAGGTGCTAAGTCCTCCGGCAAGCCCTCCCCTACACGAGGGTGCATTGATAACAGATGGACAGCAAAACTGGGAAGTGGGAGAGGTTCATCTGACCTGCCCAGTTGACAAAAATTCTGCAACTCCTTTTAGCCTTGGCGCCCCCGAGCAGATTTTCACGTACCTACACCTACAGGCTTATGGAAGGCAAACACAAAAGCCCTTGGCATCTTCCTTATTTTCACTAGATTGGTGCATATTGCACAAACCCGTCCCCTCTGACCTCTAAAGACTTGTATCTATTAGATGACTTGCCTCTGCCTTTCCAGTGCACCTTCCGTCTATCTATCCCTCTATCTCCCCACCACGCAGCCACTTCTCAGATGATCTGCTTTCGATTCATATGCCAATCACAAGGAACGTTTGACTTTTATGTGAACACATACCTCTTGTTTGCTGAAAGAGGAATTGAGAAATAGACATTTTTCTGTTACCAGTAAGTGGGGTCCGACAGCCAGCAATGGTGGGGGGAAGGGGCTGGAGGGAGAGGTGAGATCAGGAGCCCTGGGTCCAGCTCTGGTTTTCTCTGGGGTCACCGGTTATGGTGTCTTCCAAGTCGTTGTGAAAGCCTCGGGGTCCTCATCGAGATCTCCAAACACATTGCGTTCCAAGGATTCCCTGGTCACCATCCAAGAAGGCACAAAAGATGTCCTTGCTCGTTGTGGTCTTGTCTGCTCCTTGGCCCGACCTTGTGGCCTGTCCCACTCCTGCATGATGGCGTCTCCCTTCACTGACAAGCTAAGTAACTGACACTTGGAGGTGGTTTTTTTTTTCGTTGGCTCAGTCCCAGATACTGTACCAGGCTTTAAGTCTTGGGTGTCCTGATAGGTGGGGACATGGGTCAGGCCTGCCCCTGGTTTTACTTTTTTTCTATTGCTTAGACTCGCCCAAATACTCTGGAGGAAATGGGAGCTAAACAAATGGGAGCTTGTTTTTTAAAATACAGCCTCCAGAGAAAAAGTTCCACATGTGCCTCCACTGTCTGTCTTTGACCGGCCCTGTTCCTCTTTGTTCCCAGTTATGAAATGACTTAGGTGGCTTAGCATGTAGTGAATGGTTCCTTTTTGCCAGGCACTGAACACACTCGGCCGAAAACCATTGTTAGTTACCTCTTAGAGATGCAGAAATTGAGGGTCAGAGAAGGTGTTACATGCCTGCTAGTTACATGGTTGAAGGGTAGACGGGAAAATGGAAAGTTGAAGGTTTAGCAGCCTAATTTGGGGAAGAAGCACAGGATGGAATAAAAAGACTACCCAGTGATAGAATTTGGAAAAAAAAAAAAGAGGGAAGAAGAAGAATTTCAACCCTCTCCACACCCATAACCACACACCTCCTACGAGGGCACAACAAGCCTGACGCACATTCGACAGAAGAGTGGCGGCAAGCTGTGGGGAGGTCCCAACTCTGACGGCAGACAACCAGAACCCCTTGGGCAACTTTGTCATCAGGCCAGGAGGCCCCCAGCCCCTCCTGCAGCTCCCCAGCTGGCCCCTGCGCCCTGCTGAATCCGCACCTTGAAATGAGCTCAACTTCCCAAAGTTGGTTTGTGAGCTCATCGAATGCACCCCGGCAGACAGCTCCGTGATGGAGGTGTGTGCCAGATGAAAGCTGAGAGGACATTTTTAAGAGTCTTAAGTTTATTCATCGGAACTTTAATAAAACAATATGTCCATGGCCTGGGGCAGGTATAATTTTCATAATTTATGGGTCTCTGAGACAGGAAGAGAGCTCAGGGTTTTATTGTGTTTTGCACGATAAACGGCATTCCAATTGTCTACATGATGTTCCTTAAGGACTGTTGTCTGGCAGGAACACAGGCCTTCTGGAGCCCACCTGGGCCTCAAGGCCTGAGGCAAGGGATAATTATGAATACATCTGTATCTTTTAAGCAGGAGATGATTGAAAAACTCCCTAGTTTCCTTCTGTCATTAGAAGACACTTCCTACGCCGACACCTATGTTAACATTTAACTGTTGCAAGGGTTGGAACCCTCCCTGCTCCCTTCCTCCCCGACCTTCTTTCTCCCTTGGGTCTGGCCTCTTTCTTTCCTGTACCTGAAGAGACTATGCAACCAGCCTCCTGACTGACTCCACTCCCGTTGGACGTGGTGAGGGAGGGAGTGGCTTCGGACGCTGAAAAGAAAATCCACCAGTGACAAAGCAAGAGAAGAGCTTCAGGTGATTCTCTAGTGGAGTCAGTAGTTGGAATACCTGCAGTATTCTAGAAAGCCTTCACAGAGTAACAAAGGTCAAGTGGCCTCAGGAAACCATTACAAAAGCTACTGCGTCTGAGCAGAGACACTGCATTAGCATTTCCAGTCTTGAAAACAATCAAATTAGGTTGATATAATCAGTCTCATTTTATAGAGGAGAACCCCCCCCAGGCTCAGAGAGGGTAAGTCACTCACCCAAGGCCACACAGCTGATAAGTGGTAGACCTTCCTCCACAGCCTGTGTACTGCATGCTAAAGTCCTATTCTAACTTTCAGACCCGATCCAAAGATCACCTCCCCTGGGATGCCCCCTAGTGCTTATGTAGATGTCAGTATAGTAGGTGATCTTTAAACAAGAATACGTAGACTGATTGGGATGGGACTGGAACCTGGGTATCAGCACCGCTTCACAGCACCCCATATGAAATATTGCGGCCCCATCCTCAAACTGATCTCAGGAAGGATGCTGCGTTACCACATGACATTGTAACAACCCTCCCTACTTTGCTCTTGGCCAGCCTTCCTCACTTCCTCTGCAATTAAAAGAGGAATTGCTTCCCCAGACCTGTGGAATTATTTGGGCTGTGGTGGCCAGAGACAAGAAGCTTAACGGGGGAGAGGGGGAGCTTAACCCAGCTAATTCAGAAGTGTAGTCTGGTGGCTTGTGGGTGTGTGGGGCGGCAGAACTGCTCCGGGAGAGACGCACACACGGGGTTTAAGGGAGAAGGTCCCCCTCTGGGCTTCCAGGGGCAAAGTACAAAGAGGGCACAGACCAGGGCCACAGCAGCCCGGGTGGAGTGGAAGGCAGCAGGGCTAGGGTCTGGGGACCCCCATGTTTACATGCTGAGTTCCTCCCAACCCCCCAGGCTACTGCTTGACCAGTTTCCAGGCAATGCTCCAGCCAGCCCTGGATTACGAAGGCTCTCTGAGGTGCCGGATCTAATCGGATTAAAGAACTAGTGTCCATCCAGACGGAGCCGTTTCCCAGAGAGGGGGCACAGCCAGGGCCTTGGGCCTCACTGAGAAGTGACTGCCACTTCCGCAGGCCTCTCCTCTTAGGGCCATGTGTTGGGAAGAGCAACTGAGCCTTATGGTCCCAATGCCCAGGGCCCTGCTCTGCCACCTTCTCTAGTGTGACCTCGGGAGGGTCACTGCCCTTCTAACAGCAGTTGGAGGATTCGACAATGGCTGTGTGCAGCACTGATAAACGTTGTTACCAATATCTCAGAGGTGAAAATATGTCTCATAGGACGGCGGAGAATAGAAGAACTCAGCCTCCTTTCCTCTTAGCCTCAGTTTCTCCGTCTTCAGCCTGGAAGTGTGGACCATGTAGGCAGGAGACCACAGACTACAGCCCACAGTGTTTTCAAAAACTGTTGGTTGTTCTTTGAAAATGAAGAGGTTTCCAAGCCCAGATCTAAAACTTCTCATGAAAAATAAAAAGCGCTGGCAGGGGACTTCCCTGGTGGCGCAGTGGTTAAGAATCTGCCTGCCAATGCAGGGGACATGGGTTCAAGCCCTGGTCGGGGAAGATCCCACATGCCTCGGAGCAACTAAGCCCGTGCGCCACAACTACTGAGCCTGCGCTCTAGAGCTCTCGAGCCACAACTACTGAGGCTGTGTGCCACAACTATTGAAGACCGCGCACCTAGAGACGTGCTCTGCACGCAACAAGAGAAGCCACCGCGTGAGAAGCCCGCGCACCGCAACGAAGAGTAGCCCCCGCTCACCGCAACTAGAGAAAGCCCATGCACGGCAACAAAGACCCAACACAGCCCAAAAAAGTAAATAATTAATTAATTTTAAAAAAAAGCGCTGGCTGCTCTGGGCTCCCCATTGCAGCAAATGGTCAGAGTTGAAAGGCAACTAACGGGCTTTTGCTCACAGGGCAGGGTCCCCTCACTCTCACATAGTATCCCCCCCACCCCAGTTCACTGCCCGAGTCCCCTGGGCTGAGTGCCAGCTGGCACTGATCATGGTGTTTGTACCTTGATGTCCCTTAGCCCGGTCTGCTTCTCTTTTTTACATCATCTGCCTGCTCTCTGCTCCTGACACCAGCTGGTGTCAAGTCTGACTGGTCTCCTTGGGCAGTTAAACCCAAAACAAGATGTCCCAACCCCCATCTAGAGGGCTTCCTAAGGATGCCCACCCTGTAGGCATGTCACTCAGGCACAGGTGCCAGAATCATAATCCCAGAGAGGACATCTGAGGTCATGGAAGCCGGTGCTTCTTAGCCTAGGATTTGGGGGTAGGGGGGCGGGGTAGAAGGAGCCCTTTGACACTGTAGATAAATTTCTGTGTGTTTGTGCTTTTTTTTTTTTTTTTTTTGCGGTACGCTGGCCTCTCACTATTGTGGCCTCTCCCGTTGTGGAGCACAGGCTCCAGACGCGCAGGCTCAGTGGCCATGGCTCATGGTCCCAGCCGCTCCGCGGCATGTGGGATCTTCCCGGACCAGGGCACGAACCCGCGTCCCCTGCGTCGGCAGGCGGACTCTCAACCACTGCGCCACCAGGGAAG